GAGGAGTTGGGAAACTATCCTAACTAAGGTTGGGGGGCGAGGGGGAGGGAGAGGGAAGGGGGGCGGGCAGCGGGAGGTAGGGAAGGGATTGCAAACACTTAAGACAGGGAAGTGCTTAAATAGCAGGCTGAAAATGGAGCCCAGAGGTGCCCTTTTGCTCACTTGGCCTTGCTATAGAGAACAGATTTGCGGGGAGCCAGGCTGAGGCAGAGAGCACACCAGGAGGCAGTGGGTGATACCCATAGGACCTAGCATGGCTAGTGGCTATGAGAGGCTTAGGACAGTGTTTTTCTACTCATGATAAAGGACCTGCTTTTCTCCCATCCATTATGGACTGGGAGTTTTTGTTTTCAGTTTTTTAAAATATATTTTTATGGATTTCAAGAGAGGAAGGGAGAGGAAGAGAGAGCGATAGAATCATTGATTAGCTGCCTCCTGCACGCCCCCTACTGGGGATTAAGCCCACAACCCAGGCATGACCCTCAACCATTGAGCCATGCTGGACAGACTGGACCAATATTGTTTTGTAAAATAAAATAAAAATAGATTACAGATAAATAGAATTTAAGAACAAAATAAAAGCCTACATTTTTATTAATAGGTTCTAAAATATTATATTACTCATGTTGCCATAAAATTTCCTCAACATTTACCTCGGTTCGGTTTCTGTACTTTTCACAGTCCAGCAATGAACCATATACCCTTGAGAAGTACTGACTTTAGGAAGGATGAACTAGATGACTGACTAGTGGGGCAGCGGGGAGTAGAAAGGAGAAAGGGTAAGTCAATGATGATATACAGATTTGACCTGGATAACTAATTGGCTACTGTGCTGTTCTCAGAGCAAAGGAACCAGGAGGAGGAGCAGCAGGTCTGAAAGGGCAGATGTGAGTTGGAAGAGGGGAGGGTTGGATGTACTGTGCATGGCTGAACCAGTGGGTGGGAATGACCAGAGGCGGTTAAAATGAAGGTGTGGGGCTAGCAGGCAACCTGAACTGAACAGCCTTGGGAATCATGAGCAAGTAGATAATAACCAAAGCCCAGAAGAAGACAGGCTTGCTCTGCATGGGTGTGTGGAGGGGAAGGAATCAGGAACCTTGGCCAGGATTCTGTGGGCACCAGTGACCAAGTGACATCAGTCACAGGAGGCTGAGGAGCCACAGGACTCGAGGGGATAGAGTGCTTTATGGGGAGGGTGAAAAGTGGTGCTGAGGAGCTCAAAAACCTTGGCCTGCTCTGGTCCCTGTAGCTCACCACCTAGAACCATTTCTCTAAATAAATTTGTCTCTGAACAGCCTTGTTCAAAATACGGGCCTGGGAAGCAATGTGTTAAAAATTGCTTAACAGTTTTCTCTGCTTTCCGAATTTTCTAATTTTTTTCTATTACTCTAAATACTTTAAGAAATAAAACAATGTTAATTATTAAGAAAAAAGAATGGACTATCACCTAAGCATCTGTTAACTAGCTATCTCCTAAGGAAGTGGACAGGGTGGGTCACAGAATAGTTTTGGTGTTGGTGGTATGGGCCCCTGGAAATCTGCTGTCTGTGAGGAGTTTGAGGGTAAGATCGCTGCGTAGTCACCATGTACAGGCTCTTTTTTCCTTTAAAAAGTTGTCATCCCCTCTACCCACCTAGGAAAAAAAAAACAAAAACCTTCTGTCCCACCCAATCGGTGTGGCTCAATTGGTTGATCATCAACCCATGCACCAAGAGGTCATTGGATCCATTCCCGATCAGGGCACATGCTTGGCTTGCAGTCTCAATCCCCACTAGGGGATGTGCAGGAGGTAGCCAATCAATGTTTCTCTCTCATTGATGTTTCTATCTCTCCCTCTCCTGTCCTCTCTCTCTAAAATCAATAAAACATTTTTTTTAAAGTTATGTTCCAGCTAACCCTTGACTTTCCACCCACTCTACCACCCTAGTCCTTCTCTCTTTACTTCATTGGCCTTTCACCCAAAATTTACTTTTCTTAACCCATTCTTTCAGAATTATTGTCCTTATACTACATTCAACATGGCAGTATTCCTCTTAAAAGCATTCAGTGTGTTTTCTTTCTTCTCATATTAGAATGTTTATAAAACAAGGTCAACCTTTGAAGTTACCCTTTTTTTTCCCAAATCTTCTCTGGAAAAGAATGTGTTCTTCAGCTTAGACTTAGAACTTTATTTTTTTTTAATCTTTATTATTGAAAGTATTACATATGACTCCTTCTAACTTACCCGTATCCCCCACTCCAGGCTTTCACCACCCTATTGTCTGAGTCCATGGGTTATGCATATATGTATATATGCATAACAAGTTCTTTAGTTGATCTCTTCCCAACTATACATGCTCCTCCCTTTCCCTCTGCAATTCTACAGTCTGTTCCATGCTTCTATGTCTCTGGATCTATTTTGCTCATCAGTTTATTTTGATCATTAGATTCCACATATGAGTGAGATCATGTGATACTTATCTTTCTCTGACCAGCTTATTTTGCTTAGCATAATTCTCTTCAGACCCATCTGTGCTGGTGCAAATGTAAGAGTTCTTTCTTTTTTAGAGCTGTGTAGTATTCCATTGTGTAAATGTACTACACCTTTTTTATCCACTCATCTGCTGATGGGCCCTTGGGCTGTTTCTAAATCTTAGCTATGCTGAATTGTGCTGCTATGAACATAGGGTTGTATACTAGTATGTCCTTTCTGATTGTCATTTCTGATTTCTTGGGATACAGTCCTAGAAGTGGGATTGCTGGGTCAAATGAGAGTTCCATTTTTAATTTTTTGAGATTGGCAAATATGTTCTCCCATGCAGTAGGCTGTCTTTTCATTTTTTGATGGTTTCTTTTGCTGTGCAGAAGCTCTTTATTTTGATGTAGTCCCACTTTCATATTTTCTCCTTAGTTTCCTTTGCCCTAGAGATGTATTGATAAACATATCACTATGAGAGATGTCTGAGATTTTGGTGCCTATGGTTTCTTGTAGGATTTTTATTGTTAAACAACTTACATCTAAGTATTTTATACATTTTGAGGTTTTGTGTGTGTGTTGTAAGTTGGTGGTCTAGTTTCATTTTTTTGCACGTATCAGTCCAATTTTCCCAACACCATTTATTGAAGTCTTTCTTTATTCCATTGAATGCTCTTGCCTCCTTTGTCAAATATTAATTGAGTATAATGGCTTGGGTCAATTTCTGGTTTCTCTATTCTGTTCCATTGAACTAGATGCCTGTTCTTGTGCCAGTACTGGGCTTTTAAAAATATATATATATTTATTGATTTCATAGAGGAAGAGAGAGGGAGACAGAGATTCAATGATGAGAGAGATGATTGACTGCCTCCTGCAAGCGCCACACTGGGGATTGAGCTCACAACCCAGGTGTGTGCCCTGACCGGGAATCAAATCGTGACCTGGTTCAACCACTGAGCAACGCTGGCCAGGCAGTACTAGGCTGTTTTGAGTACATTGCTTTGTAGTATAACTTGATATCTCATATTGTTATTCCTACAACTTTGTTCTTCTTTCTCAAGATTGCTGTGGCTATTTGGGGTCTTTTTTGGTTTCATATAAATTTTTGGAGTGTTTGTTCTAAATCTGTGAAATATGCTGTTGGTATTTTAATAGGGATTGCATTGAATCTATGGATTGTTTTGGGTAGTGTATACATTTTAATGAAGTTGATTCTTTTTTAAAAAAATATATTTTATTGATTTTTTTACAGAGAGGAAGGGAGAGAGATAGAGAGCCAGAAACATCGATGAGAGAGAAACATTGATCAGCTGCCTCCTGCACATTCCCCACTGGGTATGTGCCCCGCAACCAAGGTACATGCCCCTGACCGAAATCGAACCTGGGACCCCTGAGTCCGCAGGCTGACGCTCCATCCACTGAGCCAAACCGGCTAGGGCAATGTTGATTCTAACACACTATTTCCTTCCACTTGTTTATATCTTCCTCTATCTCTTTTTTCAACATCCTGTAGTTTTCCAAGTACAGGTCTTTTACTTCCTTGGATAGGTTTATTCCTAAGTATCTTTTTTGTTGTTGTTGCAATGATAAAAAGGATTATTTTTTATTTTCT